AATCATTTATTTTTTTATGATGTGAAAATAACTGAGCTCTCCAATTTTATAATTTGTCCCTGTGAGAAGTAAAGATGGTGCATTTGTTTTTTTTGTTTTTTTTACCATGAACTCCTGAATTAAATAACTTCATGATTGCTTTACAATGTTTAATTTAACCACAAAGTATTAAAAATGAAGATTTTCCTTTAGCAGCGGGCAAAAGAAGATTATATATTTTATCAAATAAAATATAGAGGTTACAAAAAAATATAGACAATAATTTTCCTGTAGATATTTTCTCTCAAAATTATCTTGAATTTTCATTAAATATGAACTGAGATGTCCTCTGGTCACTGTTAGAACACAGTAATGCTATAATTAAAATTAGAAGCAAAACACATGTGACTACGCTGCGGTGGGTGGCTGACAGGCTTTTCAGACCCTATAATTTCCCACTCATCACAATACATCTACACATTGAAACAGGAAGCTGCACCAAAAAAGAAAGCAGCAGCTCATGTTCACACTGCGCTTAGAGCAGCAGCAGGTCTTATCACGTTTTTTAAAGCTACGGTCGAGCTTTATGGACCTGGCGGCCTTAAAAATCTGAGTAAGTAACTTTATGACTCAATTTTTTTGATGTTATAAATGTCACCTCAAGTAAACAGGCATGTTTGTTAAACACGTGACAATTTGCTGGATCTGATAAAATCAATTAACTATGGGTTAAAGTTAAAACTTTAAAAGTATTTCAACATATATCTAAAATAATTAGTGATATTTAGGAATAACATTTTGTCTTTTACACCTGTGGCTGGTGCTTTCCAGCCTCGTTTCACTTCACTCTTTACTGCTACTGCAAGTCCTCAAATGGACCTGAAAATACAATCACATCCTTTTTTTGTTTGAATAAATTCGACCATTACTGTATTTGAGGAGTCCATGTAAGATGATCTAAGAGTAAATAATCAGTAGTTTATATTTTTTCAGTGGGTTTGTTTAGTTGTGTGAAAATAAGAATGGAAAAACTGAATGGAAATAAATTCCTTGCTTCACTTACAGGAGACGTTGGTTTCTGGAAATCAACCTACATTAATTTTTCTTTAAAAAATTGATCTGAGCAGAAACAAAGACATCCATCACACTCTCCCACGATGAACCAGACAAACTGCACCGACCCCAAAGCAGAGTTTCAGTACTATCTCTTCCCATCGATCTACATCCTGGCTTTAGTTATAGGCCTTCCGGGGAATCTGGTGGCTCTGTATGTCTTCACCGTCCGGATCAGCCCTCGAACAGCCTTCAGTGTCTACATCAGCAACCTGGCCGCGGCGGACGTCATCATCCTCTGCATGCTGCCCTTGCGGATCCACTACCACCTCCATGAGAACGTATGGGAGTTTGGAGACTTTGCCTGTCAACTCACCGGGACTCTGTACTATGCCAACATCTACATGAGCATCTGCTTCATGACCTGCATCTGTGTGGACCGCTACATGGCCACGGTGCATCCACACACCTACCTGAGAATGAGGAACCCAAAATGGTCTCTGCTGGTAAGTGTGGCGCTGTGGTGTTTTGGTGGAGTGGCTATACTGGTCTTCATCCTCATGGGTCCACTGGAGAGAGGGGATGACCACAGCTGTTTTGAAAACTTTGCCACCACAGAGTGGAACGACCGATTGAGGACTTACAGTATAGTCAGTCTGATTTTTGGCTCCCTGATGCCCTCCATTATCATCCTGGTGTGCTACCCGCTGGCAGCCAAACGCATTTCCGAGATCGGCACCAAAACAGCTCAGAAGGCTGTGAGGGTCATCTACACCATCCTGGCCATCACACTGTTCTGCTTCCTGCCACACCATGTGGTTTACCTCCTGCACCTTCTTCAGCGCCTGGAAGTCATCCAGAACTGCTCCGTCCGGACTTCCATCTACAACGCCAGACGAGTTACCATGGCGCTCATCACCCTAAATACATGCCTGGACCCTGTGCTCTACTACATAACCACCAGCCACTTCAGATGGGAGCACTTAAAAAGGACGTGGCTTTGGGGGATAGTGAGCAGGAGAAGGGGCGTTTACACCATCTCAAGTGACCTGAATGAGATAATGCCGCCTGTACAGAGAATCCTGTAAAAGACAAAGACTTTGTGATATAAAAATTAAAAAGGTTTTCACACCTGATAGATTAGTAGACTTGGTGCAATTGGAGACCAAAGTAGCAACAATTGTTACATTTACAGCTGGTGTGGTTTATTTTTACACTGCACTGTGTAAAATGAATCAAACCATTTGAAAAACCCGTTTAGCCCCTTGTCTATGGTGTTGCTGCACCAAGAACCACTGAAGGTAATAACACAAAAACCTCTGAAGACATGACTGCAACTCCCTTATTCCTAAAATCCAAACAAAAATGGAGTGGTGTCAGATTTCAGTGTTATCGGGCTTTCTATTTTGTCTATTTTGTAATAGACTATGAGCCATTTCTGTCCTACTGCTAGACACATGCAATAGTCTAGCACTACTTTTGGAGTGGTCTCGGCTCCACTTAGCATTCACATTTGAACAGCACCACAGTTCACTTTCAACCAAACCCAGACTTAGGTTTGTAGACAGACCAGAGTTTGCTTTTTTGGTCCGCTTCAGTGTTCGATTGTGCATTCGCACATCCCCAAATGAACCAGCATATGATTAAATAGGACTAAACATAGCTGGTGTGAATGCATACTAAAACCTTTTAACTTTAATGTATTCTTTGAGCTGTAGATCAGAGATGTCAGTTTGTGAGGACATCTCTTATCCACAGCTTTCCTTTCAGGTTCAGTTCTACCCTTCTTCATCTTGAGCTTTCTGACACGTTTTGGTTACATCATCCACCATCATGAACACTCTTGTTCCGTTACAACAGTAACCCCTGAGCATTACGACGCCACCACCATGTCTCATTGTGGGTATTGTGGGACTTTGATTTGGTAATATCTCTGCATCAAATCCAATCATCTTTTTAGTGATTACACATTCATTGCACCATAGAAAATTCTACCAGAGCCTAGATGTTTTCTGTTACAAGTAAAATAACAAACAGTTGCTAAAAGTCCTGCAACTCCTTCTTTGTTACTATAAGCCACAGATGTTTGTCTACCTCCCTGACCCGTTTCAATCTTCTCTTTTGGTCAGTTTTAGAAAGACATCCAATTCTTGTAATGCATTTTTGCATTTATTTATTATACCTTCTACAAGCTTAAAGAGATTGCTTAACATTGAAGGCAAGTGTAAGTTTATCCAACCTGACAGCTGAAATAAATTCAACACAAATGTGCAAAATTATGAAACGCAGAACTTCCGCTTTATATTTTACAACTAATGGGTTTGTTTTTCAGCTGAATTGTACAGGAATTATGATATGCTGTATGGCATACAACATATCATGTGATATGTTGACATACAACCTATCACATTGGAAGTGAAAGTATGAAAATGCATTAAGGTCTCTTTTAAACAGGGGTGTGCACACATTTTACAAACACTGGATAAATAGGTACAATATTAAAAAGTGAAGCTCTTTCTGTAAAAATGTATATTAGTGGTGGCAAATTTCAAAATAAAATAATTAAAATCTGAATTTCTCTGGAAGCTTCAGTCATTTGATCAACAGGAATGGAGCCTTTGTAGTTGTTGAGTGTCTGCTAAAAAGGAAGCAGCTTTAGCTGACAAGAAGACGACTGACATTTTCTGCACTGAAGAGCAGGTGATGGAAACTTTCCATTAAGAGTCAAATCGTTCCAAGTTACATTGTTCCAAAACAAACACAAACAAAAACAACTAAAAAAAAAAAAAATCAAGATGAAAACAGTCAAGTTGGAAGGCCCTTCTTGAGCAGAGATGAGAGGTAGCTTCCCAGATCTTCATCCTGGAAACAAAACAGGCAAACAACAAAAAGAGATTTTAATGTTGTACACCTTTAGGAATTTATAGTCTCTTAAAATGGACATCATAAAGGTTAATCTCAATTTCTAGTAATATTCAGTTTGTTAGCTGTCATAGAGTGTAAGCCTTAAATATCTAAATTTACAGAAATACGCTGGAAATATTTTAGTGTCTAAATCATTCATATATGACTAGTTTTTAAAACTAAAATAAGACAAACTTTTATTGCTAGTCAAAATTATTAATTTATTTGAAGCACAAATAAAAACATCCAAGAAGTAAACTTTTTCCTGATGTACTTTTCACATTTAACAAAAAATATTCAAGGAACCATCTTCATAACCGACACCTACATACATTTGTTAGAAAACAACATCAGGTTTCTCTATTTTCCCCTTGTCATTTATTTGCATTGTGCGTGGAACGCAGCAGACCACGGAAACTCCACCTTCTGGTTTTATCGTTTATTTTTTGTTACTCACAAAGCCCCCTGTCTCATTCTGTCCACCCACACAACTACTTTCACTCCATACAGTTAAACCCATCATCGCCAGCACCATGTTTCCACAAGACTGTCATTCTCTTTCTGCATTATGGTCACAGAGTAAACTCAAGACTGTACATGGCAAAAATTAAACTCTGTTCATGTGTTTGACTCTTAATCTTAAACTCTGGAAAGACTAATTAGATTGTTTGCCTACTGCTGCTGCTTTTATGACTATATAGCTTTCTTTGAATGTTCAGAGTCTTGGACAAATCTCAGCCTCTCCTTTCTAATGCTAACACTTCATTCCTCTGAGCTATTTGTGCCTCAGTTTTGATTAGCAAAGGCGCATGCATCACTATATACATTTGATTCATGACAATAACAGGAACTAACCTTGAACAACTGAAAAGAGGACAATGGTTAGATCTATATTTATTTCCCGTCCTGCTTTAAACCAATTTGATTACTTTGTATTTGCTCTGTATTCTTCTCAAACCCCAACAACAAGGTCATTATTCTTGCAAAACAAAAAACAAAACATATTTCCTCTTGAGAACTGCAAAATTTTGGAAAAATAGAACTGCACAGTGAAACACCAAAATCATCTGAATACAGTTTTTCCTATGCCTGTCCCAATTATAAATTGTGTAGGAGGGTTAAGGCACGTGCAAATCGGAGCGATCGCCTGCTGACTGTGCACCTCTTGCAACTTTGTCTTTGTTGTGCACTTCAACGATCCATGCACTGTTGCTACACTAGTGCTCTCTTCGCATTGGCCGTATAAGTGATGGCCCAGGGCGCCAATTGCTGGAGGGGACACCGCAAAAGTTGTCTCTCAGGGTTCATACACTTTTCCCACAGTAAAATTCAAGCATTTTCAAGGGTTTTCTAAAGTTTTCTGGGATTTAGAAAATAGAAATCATTTCAATAATTCGAACTAATGGGCTGCACAGTGGCGCAGTTGGTAGAGCTGTTGCCTTGCAGCAAGAAGGTTCTGGGTTCGATTCCCGACCCCGGTCTTTCTGCCTGGAGTTTGCATGTTCTGCCTGTGCATGCGTGGGTTTTCTCCGGATACTCAGATTTCCTCCAAAAGTCCAAAAAACATGACTGTCAGGTTAATAGGCCTCTCCAAATTGCCCCTAGGTGTGAGTGTGTGTATGCATGGTTGTGTGTCTCTGTGTTGTGCGACAGACTGGCGACCTGTCCAAGGTGTACCCCGCCTCTTGCCCGGAACGTTAGCTGGAGATAGGCACCAGCACCCCTCCTGACCCAACTAAGGGAGAAGGGTGTAAAGAAGATGGATGGACGGAAATTCTAACTAACCTTAAACAAGACAAATCTGGTTTGATTTAACTTCAGAGAGTGAAAATAAAATGTTTACATGCGTCTTTATTAATATTAAATATCTGGTTTTAATTGTAAATAAAGTTTGATGAATTTAGGCTTTTAATCAAAAATTAGATTTTGAAAACACAGTTTGAATATCAAGCACTTTCAAGGAATTTATAATGAATTTAAGCAATGCCCAACCTTGAGACCACCTAATTGAAATTCAAAGATTTTCAAGAACATCCAAACAAACCCTGCTCTCTTTCTGTACAGTTATATTAAAAAAATTAGAATATGCATTTTGATGAGATTCATTGGTCAGATTAAAACCTTTTTAAAATAATCTTTAAGCAGTTATTAGACAGATTTTTCATTAACTCCACATTTCTGCATATCAACAATATTTTTTTATTGGTCTGATATAGGAATGATAAAATAACACAGCTGTACCTGATAACTCCAAGACAGCAGCAGGACTTTGGCGTTGGCATCTTCGGCAGAAGAGGAGACTTTTATAACGATGGATTCCACCATGACTGTTCCATCAGGAAGGTGCTGGATGGTGTAATCTTTTAGCACACTAACACCAAAAATAAAACATTCAAGATGAGGATGAAATGCAACATAAAGCAGAATGAGCTGGAGGTGGTAAGGTGAGCAGTGCTCTGACCTCTTGAGGTGCGTGTAGATTCTGTGGAGCGTGTCGGAGTCACTGTGCGGGTCCTGGAGTTGCACGCGGCAGGTGAAGCGCAACTGATGCTCGTTGAGGCCCAGCTCTTTCAGGGCCTGCTCTGATGACACCAGCTTCAAGCTCTGCAGCAAAAAGACACCAGAAAACAAAATAAAAAAAAAACCACACAGTAATGAGATGAATGCAACAGAATCTCATAAGAAGAACAACAACAGATGCACTGAGATGTCGGTTTAATAGGCAAGAGAAACTGACAGTCTTAATTACAGCTGGATACAATTTGACATCTACATCCTGATGACAGCTGATATTTTAAATGTAAACACAGCTGAAATTATTAAGATACAAGGCTTACGCAAATTTATGGAAAAAAAACATTTCTAAAAAATTCATTTTAGAGATAATATGTATGGAAACTGGGAGAACATACCCATTTTAACCTTTTATACTTTGTATATTTCATTGAAAACTGTAATACTACAAAACAACACAAGATGGTCTATTATTACATTTTTTGAAATCCATCACTGTTGTATGTCTTAATACAATATCATCTCCCTTCTCCAGGACACTCAACAACAGAGATCTTATTTAGGAGTCCATTACTGATATTGCTGTGGTTGACAATTAAAATAAATACATTTTAAAAAAGCATTAAAGTGTAAAGTGAATATCTTTTGTAACTCATACGAAAGCAGGTTTTACTGCAGTTCTCCTGTGTTTTAGTGGTAAAATATTCCTGACCCAAAACTATGAAAACTTACATTTTCTTTCATGATGAGGGTTCCATGCATGGTGCGAGGTTTTTTAGGATCAGGTAGAGGGCCTTTAAAAAATAAAAAACAAATTATACAATGGAATTTAACAAATAAACTAGAAAACATTTTTTTAATATATATTTGTTGGCTGCAGTCCTACACCAAACAAATCAGAACATTTTTCTGATGGCTTTCAAAATTCTCATACCTAAAAGAAAAACTATAGTTTCTTATTGTTGGGTATTAAACACTGAAAAATACTTAAATTAATGCATTTTCTACATTTTCAGAGTGAAAATATGCTACTGCAGTACAAGATGGGTTATTACATAAAAATCTTCACTAATAGTATTGATAATTTTTAATTAATAACTTCTATTTTTAATGTATTTTTTATGGACCTACTAGTGTCTTTAATTAGGGTGGTGATTATGAATAAATAGAGGACACATATTGTTGATTTGATCATATATTTTAATTAAGAACATTTTTTGCTTTATTAAAATTTCTAATCAAAGAATTACCCAGCCACAATAGCGAAATGAGATCAGTAAAACCATTTATGCATTCAGTGATCAAGCCTTTCGGATTTACTTCGTCGACCTTATCATGCCAACTGATCTGGGTCAGGTTACTGTACGAAGGCGGCAAGAAGCGTGAAGTATGAAAAAAAGCTAGATGAACAAAAACCACTTAACCTCCAAGAGTCATCTCCCTCTTGAGCAGGTTGAGCGATATGTCCACAGGAACGCTGGGGTTCGTCGTCACGGCCACCGTCTCCCCGTTGGCTGGCATGTAACAGTCTATACCTGCCATTTAAAGAGTTTAGCATTAACCAGGCTGGGAATCCCTTCTGCCCACAGATGTAAAACATCTTCAAAAACAACAAATCAATAAATGAATTACAGATGTTTGAGGCTGTGACTTCAGCAGCACTTACTGAACTCCTGTTCGATCTTCCCCTTGAGAAACTCCATTTTTGCAGCCTCGCCATGCACCAGCAGCATGTTGCGAGGCTCTGCCATGCGAATGAGCTGCATGATGCCCTTTGCATCAGCGTGTGCGCTAAAGGACATGTACTCCACCTGCAGCTTCACGTCCAACTGCAGCAATCCCAGACAGATGTGGATGAAAGAAAAACTGACAATAAGATTAACAGGCTTAATTATTTAGGGCTGTCGCTTATGATTAATTTAGTAATCAATTATTCTGACAATTGAGCGATTAATCGGATAAAAACATCTACACATTCTCCATATTTTTCATTTAACCACTTACACTTGCTGAAATATTAGAAATACAAAAAAAAACAAATCAAATAATTCAGTTTCTTTTTAAATAAGAAAATCATTTTATTGCTTAAAATGCAATACCATAGCGTTCCTTTAGTGTATGTTTGATCATTACATTTTTTTTGATTAACCAAATAGTAATTGGTAGTAAAAGGTGCTTATTTCATTTATTTATTTATTTTATTGAATTCGAATTAGGTGAAGCAAAAACTACAAAATGTTCTTTAGTTCTTCTTAAAATAAAATCCTTTTTGCTTCTCAAAATAAACAGGTGTGTGTTCTTTTTAAAAAAAAATTGCCTTGGGAAGGATCTTATGCTCCACTTTAAGCCTAAAAAGTA